CTGAGACAGGTGGCGCTGTGATTACAGCGCCACGGTCTCAGTGATGACACAGAGCAGGCGAATAACGTCTATTCTTCGTCTGCTCTATGGTTATCTCGATCGTCGCCGCTGCTCGGTTTTAATACGAGTGATCTCATTAGATCACTCGTATTAAACGAGCAGTGGCTCCTGCTGCTGAACTCGATCGCCGCCGCCGCTGCTCGGCTTTAATACGAGTGATCTCGTTAGATCATTCGTATTAAACGAGCAGTGGCTCCTACTACTCGCCCGGCGCCCGAAACTGCATGTCTCGGGCGTCGGGATTCGCGCCATAAGACGCAGGCACTTTTTCCCCCTCCTTTTGGGGGGAAAAAAGTGCGTCTTATGGAGCGAAAAATACGGTACTGCCACAATTTTTCTTTAGATACATTTATCAAAAAAAGTACCTTGATTTGATTACATCTGGCTGTTTTTCCCCAGCTTATCAGGTATTTTAATTGAGATTTTAACTCCTCAATGACTGTGCTGCAAAAATCTATGGTATAATTTCCCCACTCATCTAGCATGGAAAAGGATATTCGTAAGATTAGTCAAACCTGTTCTTCCTGAATTTTCTTCAGTTGTTCCAACATTGCTTTGAATTCATTTTCCTTCTGTTCCGCCTCCTCCAAAGTTGCCTGATTTTGTTCGTCATAAGCCATGGCCACCACAGCCAGGATCAAATTCACCAGGTAAAATGAGCCAACAAAGATGACCAAAACAAAGAAGATCATGTAGGTTTTCCCAGAAGCACGCAGACTCTAAATTAAACATAAGAATATGTTTTACATTTTTTATTAAACAGGTAGAGTATAATATCAAACAATTGTTAATAAGTCGTATAAATTTTATTTAATTGCTCACTGGAAATACACTGAGTGTCCAGATTATTCTGACCACCTCATCAGTACTTCGTTGGGCCACAAGATGACTCCACGAGATGACTTCGTTGGGCCGCCTCGTGACTCCACGAGATGTTGAAAGGTGATGCGAGGAATCTGACACTGCACTGTTGCCCTTCTGTTGTCTTGTACCAGTCTTGCCACTCTCCGTTCTGCCCTTACATTGACATTGTTTTATAAATGTGCCCCAATGACTTTCACTTTAAATCTGTGATGGTATTTTAATCCCTAGGCATATATACTTTAGGTCTAAAAAAAAGTGGCAATGTTAGAATGTTAGTTTTGCAGGTGCTGTTTTTTTGGGCCATGGGGAAAAAATAGACTTCTGGTGATTAGTGATGAGCTCAGGTTCAGACCAAACCTGAGCTTTCATGAAGGACATGCCATGGGCACTTCTACCCAATCAGTTGTGGGCTAGCCATTTTTGGCCCTTCAGCTGCATGTAAACAAACAAAGAGGCGGGATGCTTGCGCTGATTGTCATTTACCTTATATGGCCACATAGCCATATTAGGTAAATGTAATTTACCAAACATAGGCATGTAGCCATATAAGGTCAATTACATCACTACATCCCGTCCCTTCACTTATGTCAAGCTGCGAACAGGGAATTCTCTGCCTGCATCTGATTGAAGAAGCTTTCTTCCTTGTTCATTCTGAACTGGTGACATACCCCACCCAATCTGCCCTTGTTTTTAAAAGTTCAGGTTCAACCCACAAAATGGCTGCCTTCAGAAAAACTGAAGCAGCTGACACAAAGTTAGAAAACATTGACATTTAAAGCAGTTTACTGTATAAGGGATCTGTAATTACGTGCAACCAGTTTTGTGATCCAGGCAGCCCACAACAATAAACATCAAATAGAAAATAGAGAGATGATGTTTACTTACTAGCTGGTACAGGTTTTCCCAAAAATCCTGAGTCATAAGGCGAAATAAGGCTAGAAAGGCCCAGCTAAAGGTATCAAAGTTTGTATAGCCATAGTTGGGGTTCCTGCCTGCTTTCATGCAAGTGTATCCCTCTGGACATTGCCTAAAAACAAAGATAATTCAGACTCTAACATCAGTAGAACACATGCATATACACCAAAAAAGGATCTTGCATTTTTAATCTTTCCCAAATAGATCTCTTATCTTATCCATCATTTATTTATTCTCCAAGACAGCCATATGAAGTGTACCACCAACCAAAAGCTTTATACAGGAGTAGGTACGGGCTATAACCTCGGTCAGTCTTTCAATGCTA